GTACTGATTGTGTGTTATATAGACCAAAAAAAAAAAAAAAAAAGCAAAAACCACAACTTCCTTTTCCAGCTATCACCCCATCTCTTCAGACTTACAAGAAAGCAAACATTTCTTGAAAGACATGTCTATACTCACTGTCTCCTATTTCTCTCCTCTCACTTTCTTCCCCTACCCACTCAAGTAGATATTTTTACCCTCAACACTCCAAACAAACCCTCTTTGCAAGGTTACCCATGACCTCCACAGAGTGCTCAAGTCAATAATCAATCAATCCCCTCGTCCTCACCTTCCTGACTACTTGTCAGCAGCATTTTTACTTGCTGATCACTCTTTGAATCATTTACTTTACTTGACTTCCAGGAATTCGCAAGTTCCTGGATTTTATCCAGGAGGAACACTGGCTGTCCTTCCTCAATCTCATTGCTGATTCCTCTTCATCTCTTCACCTTAATTCTGAAATGTTCCAGGGTCCTTCAACATCTCCTTTATCTACACTCATTCCCCGGGTGAGCTCATATGGTTCATCAATTTAAAATATCATCTGCACACTCTTGATTCTCAAATTTATTGTATCCCAGGCCTTCCCGCGAATGAGAGACCTGAATATGCAGTTGCCTAATTAACATCTGTACTTGAGCATTTAATAAGAACTGCCTGGAACTCCTGATCTTTACCATAAAACTTATTCTTCCTGGAGGTTCCCCACATCAATAACCAGAAACTTCATTCTTCCAGTTGCTCAGGCCAAAAACCAAGTAATCTTTGACTCTCTCTCTCTCTCTCTCACCCTATGTCAACTGATTAGCAAATCATATTAGGTCTACCTTCAAAAACTATCCAGAGTCCAACCACTTTTTCCCCTCCTACCACCATCACCTGAGTCCAAGCCACTATTACCTCCTACCTGATATAGCCTAATGGCACCCAGGCTGGTCTCCCAGGTTCCACTCTTCCAAGCCCCCCTGCCCACAGTATACTGTCAAAATGACTATGTTAAAATGTAAGTCAGGTCACGTTATTCCTCTTCTCAAGATTCTCCATGGCTCCCATGTTACATGGCATGCAAGTCCCTACACGAGGGCCCTACCCATCCTCTCCTTGACTCGCTCTGCCTCAGCTACACTGGCCTCCCTGCTATTTCTCAACCTTTCCAGACACTGCTATGTCCTTTGCACACGCTTTTCTGGAATGTTCTTCCCTCCATTAACTCCATGGCTTCTGTCCTTCACCTTTGAAATTTTGTTCAAATGTCATTTCTAACGGAGGCCTTCCCTGACCATGCACAAAAACTGCAGGCTCCTCTCCTGCACTTACTATCCATCTCTTCTGCTTCACTTTTCTCTGACTACTACATGACAGACTATAAGGTTTACTTATTATTGTCTGCCTGACTTTAAAAAATGTAAGTTCCATGAGGACATGACTTTGTTGTATTCCTTGCTATACACTCTCAGTGCGTGGTCCAAAGCCTGAAATGTAGTGTAAGTTCAAACACTTAGTGAACAAATGAAGAAATGCTTGTTTTTGAAACCGCCCCAAATAGAAGAGCTCTTCTAGATCATCTAAAGCCAGGGACTGGTAAACTTTCTCTATAAAATGCTGACACTCAAATCACTGAGCCAAATCACCCAGGGCTCAAAACTAGAAAATTTTAAAGTTACCATACACATATCAGTTTAAACTATAAATGACTTGTATGAATTGACAATATACATGGTCATTTGCTGTGGCATCTGTTTGCAACAGAAACAACCTAAATGTCCAAAAAGGAGAATGGATAATAAAATTATGATGCATTCATACAGTAGAATACTATGTAGCCGTTAAGAAGAATAAAGAAACTCTTTCTTGACCTATTCAGATAGGATTGCTTAGATACATTCAGTGAAAAAAGCAAAGTGAAGGATTGGTATATAGATTCCTACCACTAGTGTAAAAAGCAAGAAAAGACCACACACCTCACACCAGCCATGAATGCTTGGGATATCTCTGGATGAATTCAAAGAAACAATTGTTTTGGCTACCTCTACAAAGAGAAGCTGGACTGACTGAAGAACAGTGTGAGGGAGATTTCTCCCTGTTTATTCCTTACTATCTTTGAATCTCGTATTATGTAAATATATTACCTTTGCATCAAATGAATAATAGACTGATAGTATAATACAGCATAAACTTTATGGAAGGGTAAACATACCACCAGGTCACATAGATCTCTAATAACCAAGCACAGAAGTTGGTGCATTTGTGTGCCAGAATAGTCAACTCTAAGTTTAACAGTCTAACTATTGTTGACTAATAGTCAACAGCTGTGTTAACATAGGGTAGTGGCTAGAATATAACCATTACCTTGCCCTTCCCCTGTTCTTCCTTACAAACTGCATTTGAGCAAACTCATGGCTCTATGACCAGTTAGTATTCAAACAAGAGCATCCCCTCCACTTATGTATGCAAGTATGTATGTGTGTGCGCACACATACACAAATACACATTCAAAATAAATGAGTAGCCAAGTCTTCAACACACTCTCACAAATATTCACTGAGATTAAACAAGGAACAATTTAGGAGTGTATTCAGCAACAACTAACAGAAACTCACACTAACTGTGACTTAAATAAATTGGAGTTTATTCTTCCTACCTAAAAAGTAGTCTGGAAGAAAGTGGTTCTGCATTTGCAGCATCAGGTCTACATTGTCAAGGCCATGATTTCTGTAGACTCCTGTCAATTGCCTCATGGCTACAAGATGGTTGCTTTTATTCCAGGCAGCACATCCATATTCAGGACAGGAAGAAAGGGAAAAGGATGATGTCAGCCCTTTTTATCAAGAAAACAAAGGCTCTCTCAGCCTTTCTTTTTCCTGGGTTTCTCCCAGAAACCTTCAAACAAACTCTTGCTATGTCTCATTGTCCTGACCCATATTGTGTGGCTATACCTAGCTGCAAGAAAGTCTTAAAATATTAAGTTTTTACAGATTATGTAATATAGGCATGCAAGAGCAAAGAAGGCTGAGAAAGACGACTGGACCAGCTGGCCCACAGTATGTGATACAAGTCCTCTGAAAGAGTGCAAAGCTGGCACGTAGAGGTGATGAAGTATGACCTCAGACAGTCTACATTCCTTATTGCCTGCTTTAATAATAAGATCATTTTAAGTGTGACAATATTATGGATTGGATGCATAAGTTCCGAAATAAAAATACTGAGGGCTTTTCATAAATCCAGAAATAAAAAATTAACCTACACGTCATATATTTGTATTTATGTATTTCCCTACTAAAATGTAATTCTCCTGTCAAGTAAATGCACATCCAAAAATTACACAATGTACTTTCTGTACATTTCTTCTTAAATATAAGTTTTCCTTTGTTTATTGAACTATTTTTTAATTAATTAATGTCTCAGGATCTACAAACTAGTTGTGTTCCCTCAGCTTTGTTAAATGGTAAACAGTGTTGTTACAACACACACAAGTCCCAAAGATTTGCTACTTCATCATGAGCTTTCCTACAAAGAAAGTCAATTACCTTACAGAGTCACATCGGCCTAAAGGACAAAAGCATTACACACATTAATACTATTAATACTATTACTGACATTAGAATGTCAGTTTCAAATATTATATAATTCTTCATCAAAAGAAATTCAGAAGATATCTCTTAAGAACATGGACATTCTCTTTCGTAACCACAATATTATCATGTCTAATACTACTGATAGTTCTAATTAATAAGACTATTAATTATCAATATTAATAAATAAGTATAATCATTTAATATATTAAAATTTATTTATCTTAAAAAATTATTATTTTTTAAATCAAAGGCTAATCATTCCCAAATATTTTTGTTTAAAGTGTGTTGCTTCAAAATCATTCAACAAAAGGAGTAAATTTTCACCTACATCATTTTTATCGGTTGTCAGTCAATTAGTATTTGGGTTGAATTCTTTAAAATATGGGTTTTTATATTTATAAAAATGGCCACTTGTTTTGCATTTTTGTATCTAAATAATTACAGAATATTATGCAGCTCTTTTGAACATTACATTTTACAGGAGAAAACAAAAGAAGGTAAGAAAGACGGGCAGAAGTATTTTCAACCTTTAAAGAAACTTCTAAAATGTATGCATGCCACATACACAGACTTGCAAACATATTCAAAATTCACCCCCCAAATAATTACAGAATTCCTAATCACAAATTCAAGTAGTGAAGACTCTTACTTGATTTACATGTTTTAAATAAATATAAACCTGCTACTTAAACAAAGAAAATATTGAGTTTACCCCATTTGAAAGAAAAAATTAAAATCAACCCAGAAGTGAGGTAAAATAGCAGAAAATCATCAGTGTCATTGGCCTCAGATGGACTATGTGAGAAACACTCCGCATACGCTGCCCACAATGAATGCTAATGAACATTCATAAAAGGTTAAGAATAATGTTGTTTACATATACTCTATTCTTCCCTCATGAATATAAGGTCTTCACAGGTTCAAAAATCAGTTTCTCTAAAATATCTGATGACTGAAAACAAATTAGGTTACAATGAGGGGAAGCAACTTTACAGCCATAAAAAATTCTAAAATCTATTATGAGCATTATCATAATTATGGATTTATTTACCCACGTCCACCAAGTGTAACTTAAACTCTATTCAAACTAATCACTCAATACACTGTACAGCTCAGCCTTCAGCTTCATATGATTTAATTTTCCTTTCCTTCTTGCAACATTATAATTATGTGCTCTGAGTTTACTGTAACTAATATTAGTGGTTTTCTCCAAATGCTTACAAACTAAAAGAACAGACAAAAAAGCTTTTTGATCACCTAATCAGTACCCTTAGGAGAGAAAAAAAATTGCTAATACAGAAACAAAGATCTTTATTTTTCTTTCTTTCTTTTTTTTCCTGCATGAGATAAAACAAATTCCTTGTGTGGTTTTAATTACATCCTAATACTCCACAAACATCTTTTAACATAAAATTCAAAATAAAGTACCTATTGTGAATAGCTCAGCAGCTCCCAATTCTGTGATGGCAGCAACCTTTATAATCAAGTCCATGGTTCCTAAAAATCAAATAGATCAGCAACAAAACTATGGTTCTTTTTAAAGTAACATGATACTGTTTGCAAAACTGTTGTTTTTGTTTTTTACTTTTTTAGTACTGTGCTTATTATTTGCTTTCTAACAAAATAATATTAATAATTTATTTCCAGTTATCAAAATTTGATAGCTAATATAAGTGGTCTTTCCTTTGTTTCCCAAAAAGCCTGAGTAGGAACACATTTGTGGTTAACACAATCATTCTCTGCTATTTCAAAAGCTCCAAGTATCCGAAATATATGGGATTTCCAGGCTCTAGGAGAAGGCAAAATTTCTTGTGTAAATAGGAAATCCAAGCCACAGGGAGAAACCCAACTTCAGCTGTGAATGCCCAAAGCCCTAGAAAGTTCTATTTCTGTTGCTGGCTACCCATTTCCATTTATTCTGATAAGTCCATCTTGTTAGTCACCTGCTGATCAATTCTGTTAGTAATTTAATACAATATCAAAAGAAATTTTTTTTTTCTTATTTATAATAGAGGAAAAACTGGAAAATGATTGAGGCTGCCCTAAACAGGCTGACCCAATTTTATTCCAAGATGCTTCTTTAGAAAGAGTACATCAGCCATGTCACCAAAGGTGACTACTGGGTTTCTTGGAAATTGTGATGATTCTATTTCTTACACTCAACATGCACTAAAAAAATTTAATTTAGGTAATACTCAATTTAGTAAGTAGATAAACTTTGTATTTTTAAATGATGATTGCCTGGGTCAATAAATGTGATTTTTTACCATCCATTCTAGTTAAACAATAATAATAATAACGATGTCTCAAATTTGTACTTCTCTCAACAATTCTGATTATTATCTAACCACTCTTCCTACTATCAAACCTTCTAGCCTTCCCACAAAAGCTTTCTGCATCTTATTTGAAATAAAATACATTTCTGGGGATGTTACTTCTTAAGGTTCTATTTTCTTTTTTTAAATGAAGCCACTCTAAGAGGCTGCAACAGTTCCTCAGAAAGAGACAAAAAATTTTCAATTTTGCCATTAGCTTCCTGAAGAACATTCTTGAAGGCCCTTTGAAAACCACATTCATTTCTAAAATGACTGTCATCCTTACAGCCATTTGCTATCTTTTCTTTTGTCCTTATTCCACCCACTCAGTCAAACTTATTCTGATTTGTAAAACTTCTACACACTTACAAATATTCTGGGGTTCTACATAAGTATCTTATGTCATGTGGGAAGAAAACTATCATTTATTTTGCAACTTTGTGACCCTCTATGAGATGTACTCCAATTAAAAAAAAAAAGCATAAAAACTATAGTATTATCTTCAATAACTTTGCGCATTAGTACACAGTTTAAATGCAAAGTTGTGGATGCCAATCATCTATCAAACTCTAAACCATCTAGCTTGTCACCAAAGGCCTTGACTCAAAGACCTTCTTCACCATTTCTGGTCCTCCTTCTATACCAGCTTCTCAGTGGAGGTCTTTTTTTTTTTTTTATCCTCCCATACACAAACTTGAATTCATACACTACCAATGCCTAAACCCAAAAGCTTTTTCTTGATACTGATTTACATCTCTAAATACATGGAAATACTTTGATTATGTCAAAACAATTCCTTCTGCCTCTGGTTTTCACAGCAGTGTCCTCCTTGGTTGCATCCACTGTCCCTCTCTCCTCTACCTCCTTCACAGGTATTGCCTCACCCCTCAAAGGCAGATGTCCTCTAAGGTTTTCACATTCAGCTCTATTCTCAACTCATTCAACAAATATTTTGATTGTAAAAAACTATTCTAGCTGCTGGGGACATAACAATGTGGGGGGAATAACAGTCAAGTTTCTGCTCTCATACAGTTTATGCCTTGCTGAAGGGAGATAAACACTAATAAACAAATATGTACAGAATAATTCAAGAAGTGCTAACAAGAAACATAAAACAAAGTAGGAGGATAGGTAAAGGAGTAAGAATTTTAGGTAGGATGGTTAGGAAAGACCTCTTTGACAATATGTCATACAAGCAGATCCGGCCTTCAGAGCTAAATCATCCATTCTGTGGATGACACTATAAATTATGAAGACAAGCCCAAAGTCTCAAATTCCCTCTCAAGCTCCAACCCCATATATCCCACTGACTGTCTTACTCACAACTACCTCTTTGTCAAAATGGTCAAAATCAATCCCACTCTCTCTGCATGTCCAATGTTCCACACATGACATTCTCATAATCTCTTACTGGCATGCAACTTCAAGTCCATCATAATCAAAACTCCAACTTTTTAAATGTCTTTTTAACTGCATCTTCACATTCAATTGACCATCAAGCCCCAGAGATTCTCTCTTTGAGAGTCTCTGGTACCTGACTCTCCTTTCTATTCAAATTAATTCTGCTTCTCTAGTTGTTATAGCCTTCACCCTATAGCTGCAAAAGTACATATAGGGCTTTCAATCAACATTTGTAAATAAAAAGATGGTAAAAATTCTGAAAATATAAAAGTCCAGGGACTGAGAATTAGTGATAAATAATGCTTTAGGTGATGCTTACTTTATTGTTTCCTTATTTTGTAATTTAGACATGTGAGTACAACAGGCTAAATATCAGTGTTTACAAATAATGAAAGAGAAGCATCTTTGATTTTTTAATAGATAAAAATAATATATTGCCCGGCCAGTATGGCTCAGTGGTTGAGCATTGACCCATGCACCAAGAGGTCGCTGGCATGATTCCTGGTCAGGGCACATGCCCAGGTTGTGGGCTAAATCCCCAGTGAGGGGTATGCAGGAGGCAGCCAATCAATGTTCTCTCTCATCAATGTTTCCATCTCTCTCGCCCTCTCTTTTCCTCTCTCTCTACAACCAATAAAGAAAATAATAATAATATATTCTCTGAGAAGTCCCTCAAGCTCCAGATAGCTGCAAAGGAAAAAGATCTTAGTGTTTAAAAAAGAGAGACATACATAAAGAACATGGAGAAAAGTCTTATAAAACTCCAGAACTGTACTAGAGAAGAGACAGTACATTTTTTAAGTTTTTTAAACTATAAAGGAATTCATATAACATAACTGATAATCTCAGGCAAAAGGTTAAAATGTGTAACAATGATGTACTTTTGTTCTTCCTATGAAAGCTAATAGTCATGAATTATTGGGGTATTAGCTAAAAATTTGGTCACTAAAAGAAAATATTTATTGAATATAACTTCTCAATTTGGCAGAAAACCACAGGCGCAGAGTCCCTTCAACCTCAATTGTTGATGGCATTCTGTATTTGACAATAAACCTATGACATCACTAATATTGTAAGAACATTTCCCAAAGAAATAAAATAAAATAACATAGGGCAAAACCACTTCTTTTTTTATCAAAATATATATACTGCATAGAATTTTTCAACAATGATAACTTAGACTGAAGGTTGATAATACTTATAACTTAGCTTAGAAATTCAAAAAGAAGAGACATTTGAGTTTTGTAGATAACATTTTATCAGCCATTATATTTAGTAGTGAGCAGAAGCAACTAAGAAATGTTCTGTGTTGTTGAGAACTGGGCAGGAAGCTATAATGCCACCCTGAAGTTCACATACCACACGTGTAGCCACAGCTTGCATGAAAAAGAATAATTCATAAAACCAAGATCGTTCAAAAATAACCATGAATAGGAAAAGTCACATCTGAATCATTGTAAGGGTGAGTGTGTGTGTGTGTGTGTGTGTGTGTGTGTGTATAATCACTTAAAAAGCACAACTAAAAAGGAAATCTATTTATTTTTTCCCTACTTAACTAAGCAGTCTATAATCAGCTGGTTACCATGAAGTATTATTAAGGAACTATTTTTACAGTACCCATTTTTATGGGTTTTGTATGTTACACAAACAGTGGTTTAAAAAAAAAAAATGCATGAATTGGTTACTCTCTTTTATGCTTCCTATATTAAGTCAAACCAAAGCTCTGGATCTTGGCATAATGGTAATGCAAGTGGAAACAAAAAGAATTCAATCTTCAAAGTGTCTTTCAATTTTACTATATTCATTCTATCACATTAAAGTCTCATTTATCAAAATAGATTTTTTAAAAAACCCACATTTAAGATCATTTCAATTTGTTTCAAATTACAAAAAAGGAAAAAATATCCTTATTTTAATAAGCCACTGATGACTTAAGGGAAAAATACATAAAAACAAATTATTTTATCATAAGTATAAAATTACTTTTTGAAAACTCCCTTATTCATGCAGAGGGTCACGGATACCAAACATACCACCACTCAGAAAAAGACAGGGTTATTTTTAAATTCTGCTAGGCCATTTTAGAATCTTTCATTTAAGGTAATTTTACCATTAATAAAAGTTAATTGTCAATTAAAAGAATATTACCCAAACAGTACAACAGAAAAAATGTCAAAAGCTTTTAGTAGATAATTCACAGATTAATACAAAAGGCCAAGTTACATATGAAAAGTTGCTTGACTTCACTCATCAGGAAAAGTCAGAATAAAACTGGAAACCGTTTTTTAAATACATGATTTTGGATATGTTTTAAAAATTTGAGTCTGGAATTAGGACTGGATTCAATATGCACTACATCATAAAATCCAGTGGCAAAATGAAATACTGAAGTCAAACTCTGAGTAGTTTTAAAGAGAATAGTTTTGCCTGGCCAATGTGGTTCAGTGGCTGGGCATCGACCCATGCACCAAGAGGTCACCGGTTCAATTCCTGGTCAGGGCACAAGCCCAGGTTGTGGGCCTAATCCCCAGTGGGAATGTGCGGGAAGCAGCCAATTGATGTTTTCTCTCATCCATGATTCTATCTCTCCCTTTCCCTTCCTCTCTAAAACTAATAAAGAAAAAAAAAAGAGAAGAATAATTTTAAAGGGGAGAGTTTTTAAAAAGAGAGTACAACAAACCAATAAAAGAGCATCGAGTGCAGTTCAGGAATTCTTTAGCATGGACCCAAATCTGGAGAGTTGTAACTAGCTAGTGAATCTGTTGTTTTAGATTCCATAAGTGCTTCAGGTCATTCTCAACAAGTGGAAAGTTACCACGCGCCATAATTACCTACCTACCACAGGGTTCCCAGGAAGTTAACTTCTCCTGAGCATCTAGTTTCACCTCTTACTATTCCTTCCCACTAATGTTCTGAGAATGCATCGAGTATAGCTGGACAACAAATAACAAATTATATAAATTACATATGCTATTAAGACAAAGAATTTATACTCCCTTAAAAACAGCTTTCAACAATGGTAATCATTAAATTAAAAGAACAATATGACCTAAAGTATGGTTCTCATATGTCTGAGATTACAACAATGTGAATATAATCAACCTTTTTCTGGAAAAACACTAGAGGCAGACTTTAAAGTACTGTTTCTAACTCATTCTTCAGTTCACATTTTACCATAGGGAAATTTTTATTAACATGCACATACTTAATACCATCATTTATGTCTTCACAAGCTTAGTTCATATAACTGTAAACTCTGGCCAGTTTGGATCAGCAGTTAAAACATCGGCCCATGGACCAAAGAGTGGTGGGTTTGATTCTGGTCAAGGGCACGTACCTTGGTTGTGGTTTGGTCCCTGGCCCTGGTCAGAGTCGTGTGGGAGGCAACCAGTTGATGTGTCTCTCTCACATGGGTTTTTATCTCTCTCTTCCTCCCACTCCATCTGAAGATAAATGGAAAAAAAATAACCTCAGGTAAGGATTTAAAAATGAATGAATGAATAAATGAATGAATGAATGAATAACTGTAAGAAAGCACGTGTACAAAATCTCTTCCTATTGCAATTTTTCTACAGTTATTCACTCTATTCTTCTTTCAAATAAATAAATCCAGTTCCTTCTTACCCATAATCTTTCTTTCTTTATCCTTCCTAAAAATTTTTCCTAACAGGGCATACTTTATTTTTTAAATATTTTTTATTGATATTTAGAGGGTGGGGGAGGGAGAGAAACATCAATGTGAGAGTGAAACATCCATTGGCTGCGTCCTGCATGCCCCCTACTGGGGGATCAAGCCTAAAACAGGCACGTGCCCTGATAGGGAATTGAACCAGCAACCTCTCTGTGCAGGAGACAATACACAATCAGGGAGCCACACCAGCCAAGGTAACAGGTCATGATACTTATTAAAGGCCTGTACAACAGTGAAATTCAGTTTTGTCCCCATCCATGGAAAATTCCATCTATCCCATCAGTTGCATGCTTATCTAGCTGAGCTTCTAAGTGAATTTTTTAAAATTCTAAAAAGAGACAGCTTTGAGATTAAATATATTTGAGTTAGTAAGCCTAAATTTTGGCAAAATATAGTTTGGAGCAACCGTTGCTTAGCTGGGTCCCCGCCAGTACTCTATATAAGGGCTGGGGTAGAAGTATGACTAGACAACTGGACATTTTTGGGAAAACTAGAAGAAAAGAATTGATTACTGGTGTGGGTTTCTGTCCCTCTTCTCAAGCTGGTTAGGGTGGAGGAAAAAGAGGAGACAATAAAAAAAGCCTTGGCTAGATTTGGAGGATCCAAGAGTAGATGATGCCTAAAGAGACAGAAAGGCAGGTAGGGAAGTCCTCCATTCCCATGCCACCCTCAGGCCAGCAGGAGTAAAGTAGAAAAAGTAGACTGATCGCATGAGGAGTTGGCAATCCCACTGATTATTCTGATTTCAGATCACCTGACTCTACTACTACTAGCATCTGCTGTCAGTACTGAGGACGCTATGAACACACCATACTGAATTCCACAGTGGCAGAGGCCAATAAACCACAGGTAGGGAGAGAGCAAGTCCCATCTCAGCAGAAACCAACAGTGGAAAGAGGATGACCGTAACCCAGATAGTCCCTCCCACAGAGCCAAAGAAGCTTCCTTGATTCCAGTTATCACCCAGTGGAAATGGAGGAGGGACAGACAAATATAAAGTGCCATGTAAAAAGAGGCTAGGGGACCAGTAGAACAAAGGCAAGGAGTCAGGCACTCCTCTGAGCTAGAGAACACAGAGTTAAAATAGGCACCGTTCCTGTAATTTCCAACATGTGCGCAGGAGATGCAATGTGGTGTGAGGATATCTGGTAAAGTCTGCCCTAGCCACAGACCAAGAATATGGTCCATCCGTGACCTTGCAGCCTAAGCCTGGTGATAACCTGTCCACAGCCCTCTCAACATGGAAAACAGATGCTCCCAGTGGCTTCACACCATCACCTGTCAGAACTCCTTTGTCAAGGCCCCACACAACCTACATGCAGCCCCTGTGGCCCAGAGGGTCAAACACAAAGCAGTCATTCCCTCCGTAAGCACCTTGTGGACTGTGTGCTCTGATAACCTCTCTGTCCACTGCACACCTAGCCACCAACTACGGATTACCTGCTCCCTGTCTGCACTCTGGAGTGTGGCCAGACACTCTAGACCAGACCCACTCTGGCCAAACTAGTCAACTTCTCCTCTACCTGGTGGCCAAACCACACCTTCTCAAACAAGGTCTGAGCCCCATCCAAGTATGTCCTTCCTTGGACAATCTCTTAGCTCTAGTACCACACAGAGTTTCCCTATATGTTATAATTACTTTTTTAACATAGTTAACAATTCTTCATATTAAACTTCCCCTGATTAACCTAATGTATGGTTACTATCTCCTGAATGAACACAGAGGGTTATACTATATCCTAATCTCAAAATCAAAGTCTCTTAATATTTTCATTTTTTTCTACTGATGCCTCCCTAAAAATCACCATTTCCTCTCCAATTCCTGGATCATCCAGACTCTAATGTCTTTCTCCTACAGAGATGGTCTTGGACAACTTTAGCTCTACTCTATAATCCTTCCCCAAAACACCATTTTATTTGTCAACTTACGAACAGATATATTATCAGATTAAATGTGAACTCATACATTGAGATTTTAAGGCCCTCTGTGACCTGGCCTTACCTGGACAATCCAGCCCCACCACATCGGGAGTACTTCCCTCTAAGTAAGAGTCATGCAGATGTCTAGCCCTCACCATGCCTAATCCTATTGTTATGTCTATGTTCGCATTCTCTTCTTCCCCCTCTTTTCCCACTAATCTTAGAGCCTTCTGGAGCCAGTTCTAAGAGTCCATTATCCATTAGTCCTTTTGGAGTAATTTCTTCCCACACTTTGTCTGCGTTGCCCTCACAACACAATTAGTACCTTAATACATACATTCTATCATCTTTATTCCCTAAGTAGATATATATCTCCCCCATCAATCCTGTAATACTCTTTCTCTAATTTATGTGTTTATGGCTAATATGTAAAGCTTAACATATTTAATGCTTTATATTTCTTATAGTACTTCACAAATTTTTGCACAGTGGTAAGCTCAATGTTAAATGACGGGAAAATGGGACTAAGTCAAATAGTTTTAAACCTTGCATGGCTTGGCAAATGGAGGCTGAGCAGGATTTCAACTCAACCCTATACAACTGTATGTGGCAGTAATGAACCCATAAATACTGAATTTTAAAATGACTTTTTTTTTAATTTATTTATTTTTGTTACAGATGTGTCTCCTTCCTCCCCCCCCACTAATTCCCTCTCCCCTTCGCTCCCCACCGGGTCCCCACATTTCTTGTCCATGTCCATTGTTCATACATACATGCATATAAGTTCTGTGGTTTATCTCTCCCCCACCACCCCTCTTCTGGGGATTGTCAGTCTGTACCCCACTTCCATGTCTCTGAGACTACCCTGTTCCTCAGAATGTTATGTTTATTATATTCCACAAATAAGTGAGATCATGTGACATTTGTCTTTCTCTGCTTGGCTTGTTTCGCTTAGGATAATACTCTCCAGGTCCCTCCATGTCGTCTCAAGGATAAGAGATCTTTCTTTCTTACAGTTGCACAGTACTCCATTGTGTATATGTACCACTGCTTTTTTATCCATTCGCCTACTGATGGGCATTTGGGCTGTTTCCAGATCTTAGCTATTGTAAATAGTGCTACTATGAACATGGGGGTACATATATTCTTTCTGATTGGTGTTTCAGGCTTCTTAGGGTATATTCCTAGTAGTGGAATCACTGGGTCAAATGAAAGTTCAATTTTTTGAGGTAACACCATATTGTTTTCCATAGTGGCTGCACCAGTCTGCATTCCCACCAGCAGTGTATTAGAGTCCCCTTTTCTCCACACCCTCGCCAACACTTGTTGTTTGATGATTTGTTGATGGCAGCCATTCTGACAGGTGTGAGGTGATGTCTCATTGTTGTTTTAATTTGTATCTCTCTGATGATTAGTGCTGTTGAGCATTTCCTCATATGTCTCTTGGCCATTAGTATGTGCTACTTGGAGAGGTGTCTGTTTAGTTCCTCTGCCCATTTTTTAATTGGGTTCTTTGTCTTCCTCTTGTTGAGTTTTATAGCACTCTCTATATATCGGAAATTAACCCCTTATCTGATGTATCATTGGCAATTATGTTCTCCCATAGAGTGGGTTGCCTTTCCATTTTGACAATTGTATCTTTTGCTGTACAGAAACTTTTGAGTTTGAGTTGGTTCGAAGGTTGTGGATTATTGTTAAGCTGATTAAAATGACTTTAAAAAAAAAAAGTGAAACTATATTTTAAAACTTTTTTAAAAAGCTGTACTTTTAATTTTATTTTAGTAGAATTTTATTCTATTGTATACCACTCAAATCCTAGACAATACTGTCTCAGAGCTTGAGCATTAAATTGGTTATATGGCAAATATCATGCTGCAGTAGCTATTGTGATGGAATTCTTTTCATGATCAATATTAATTGAGGATCTAAATTTATGCTAGTCCCTGGACCTAGGTCTAGTGATAAAAATATGGTACCTTACTAATAAAGCTTATAGCACAGTAAAGCAACCAATATTTAGAAAGATGCCATTTTCTTGATGTTATACTTACTGATAAACTTGTTTTGCATAGTCTCCAACAGAGCTTGGTGAGCATCTTCTGCTTGTAAAGCGTGTGAACATTCTCTAGCCAGTATGGTGCGTACAAGATGCTCCCCACATCCTAGAAATTGAAGGAAACCAAAAATTCTTGAGGAAAAGCATTACTAAACATCTGTCTTGTGTTATGAGCATTAAAACACCCTATGCATTACTTAAGAAGTAGTTGTGCTGGAGAATAATTCAGTGATGGATGAAATGATTTCTATGAGCAATCGAGTAATTTTAGTAATAAGATTTGGCAGAAACTAGAGAAACACATATCTGTCTAATCTCAAAAAGAAACAAACAAAAACGAAAAACTCTTTTTCATAGAAACGATTTATACAATACAAGAATTTAGATTCTCTACCTAGGAATCTCCTAGGGTTCTATTTCATTTCCATGGTTGAGCAACTACAAAAAAACTTTGCTTTATCATTTCTTTATTTGTTTATATTCCATTGACCTTAGCTTCCCATTTCCCTCTGGTACCCCAACACCTGGGAGCCTGGGAGAAGTCTAGTCAGCCAGGGCCAATCTGAATGTCCCCCACCGTCCTTTTCATTGAACTGCCCATCCCACATCAACAGCTGTAAAGTGGACTTAATAAAATATCATCTCTCTCATCTTCTTAGGGCAATTTACATAGCTTTCAAGGGTGAATACTCTCTGTAGTTCTAAAGAACAAGTGCGTTTTAACCTCCTGAGGTGAATTTGACCATTCAGACACACTAAAAAAGGGTAGGTATGGTGGTGATGGGCACTGCCTAGAATTTGATTGTAGTCTCTAGCTGTCAAAAGTAGAAACTGCCTGCAAAAGTAGAGGCAAAGGAAATTTAATTTATAGGCTACTAAGGTCAAATAAAAAATTTCTGAAGAGCCTGATTTTTCTTAGAAATATAAAATGTAAAAGAGTCACTTTGATAAACATTGGAGAGGTAAGCCTTTTTAAAAACATAGTAAATGACATTTGAAGTGCTTTCTATATATAAACTTGTTATACTTTTAAAGTGACAGTGTCCTCTTATCCAAATGAGAACATTAGATATAAAAGATCTTTACAAGGTCTCTTTCTTAAAAACTATTTCCCGTTCAAAATGATTCCTTTCCCCAATGGAACAGAAATTCTCATCTTTAAAAAAAAATCCTGCCAAAGGTTCATCAAGAAAATCAAGTCCTCCATTAATTCACATACAGGTAAAGGGTATCAAACGATCTAACCATCGACTGAGAGTAAAGTATGACTCAACCCTATCATCAAAAACAATTACAGCAAAAAAGAAGTATCTCCAGGATCCACTCAGATTCCCCAAGAGAACCAAAGACAACATAACTTTTTTTCACGTCATCAATTTGCACGCAGGTATGAGCATGCGTACACACTACGCTGGCAAATGGAAAGGGGAGGCTATTAGCAATGCCAAAGAAGTGTGGTCTAAGATTATCAAATGGAAGAACCTCTGTTAATTAATGCCTTAAAATTCTTAAATTCGTGAAACTTAACCAACACAAACATATGACACAGTTCTCTGTTCAGCTAATGTCTATTGTGACAGATGCTAGGCAATAAAACAAATACCACAAAAAACATAATCTGTAATTGTTAAATCATGATGGTACCTTTCATTTTAGAAATTTTCTCTTATATGCAGACCTCTCCTCTATCCCTCCCTCCCTCCTCCACTTCTCCTCATATGTGCACACATAAACACACACACATGTGTATATTATACATATATACATACAATAAAGGCTTATTGCCAAAATTACAAACTGTTAAAAAAAAAAATCAAAGTTTTTAAAAAATCACTTGACGTTTTGCCTGAAAGAATTCCCCCGTACTTTTTGGCAAAGCGGAAATGTAAATACCCTTCAAGATCTAAATATGTCTTTGTGAGCCTCTACACTTACAGGAAGATCTAGAAATGCAATTTAATGTATAACTTTGTAGGCAGAATTATGGTGATCCCTATTTTGTTAAATTTTTGCAATCTCATTTTTATAATCAGGGAAAAATGACTATAAAGCAAATATAAACCATTTTTGACATTTACTATGTAGAGACACTGTGCTAAGCGCATGAAACTCCATAAATTTTAATTCCCTTTGTGTACATATCTTATGTTGAACAGTGAAATGTTATACTTTAGAACAATAATAATTGTTAGGAAATTGGCATATTATAAGCTAAATGAGTGTTCAGAAGGTTATGTACACACACCTCAAGTCAAACAGCTAAACCACATGAAGTTAACATTACATCAAAAATACACAATATATGTCAGAGAGACTTTTTTCCTCTGTTGTTATACAGGAATAGCAGGGTTTTCCTGTGATTGATTTTTACTAAGGAACTTTTAAAATTATGACTTTTATTCTGACATATATCACCTCTAACATAAGAGCCTTGACACCAAAAGCTTATTCTCCTGCAGGTTCCAATCAAAGAAAAATTTGACTTCTGTGGTTTTACCCACAAAATTCCAAGGTTTCTTAAATCTGATGCCATGTAGCTGAAGTGTAATTCAATGAAAACAGTTCCATTCTTTATTCAAAAATATTAGAAATAAGCCTTTCATTACATCCTCCTTTTGTCCTTACTCATGCAAGTAAGAGTTTATTTATGTTCTCAGATCTCAGCAGAAAATATGGATATATAGAATGAAGACCTAACAACAAACCTAGAAGAAAAGTGAAATAAATACCAACTTCCAAAATACTTATTTAGCATCAATAAAAATGATAACTAGATTGAAACATACAGTGAATTCATAATTTGTGTTTTAAAAAGCCTTTGTTGCTCTGGCTGGTGTGGCTCAGTTGGTTGAGCGTTATCCTATGCACCAAAAAGTCGCCAGTTTGATGCCAGATCAGGGCACATGCCCAGTTTGCACACCTGATGTCTAGTAGGGGGTATGCAGGAGGCAACTGATCAATGTTCTCTCTTACACCCATGTTTCTCTCTCTTTCCCTCTCCCTTCCTCTCTCTCTTAAATATCAATAAAAACATAAAAATAAATAAATAAAAAGCCTTTGTTACCTTTGGAGGATAATATGGAACCACCTCACTCTTCTGAAAACTGAGAAATAAAAAATAAAAAAATTTCTCTGTACTTCCTATAGGAACTATACTGTAGGATAACCAAATAGTATATAAAGTAAAATTTTCTTCACAGAATTATCCTAGTTAATAAATAAAGAAGAAATTAACAGAATTAGAATATCACCATTTGTAACCTACAATGCAATAAATGATATAGGCAACAATCATAAACGGCTGCTAATATCACAAAAAGATACAACCAGATACCACGTCTCTTGATAAAATTACACCTTTTTAGTGTTGTGCTCCCATTGAAAAAAATTACACCCCAATCTGATCAAACCTCCAAATTCAATGATCACTTTCCAGAAATAAAGTACATCAACAAAAGACCTCCAGTTAATATAAAATTTAATTGTTTCTCCCTAAATCAGGAATAATGCGATGATGTCTTCTTTTATAGCTGCTATTCAACAATATACTAGAGGTTGCAGCCACTGCAATAAGGCAAGAAAAACAAATAAAAGACTTAAAGGTCAGAAAGGAAGAAGTCAAACTGCTCCCATTTGCAGACAATATAATTGTTTATGTAAAAAACTTCAGGGAATATCAACAAAACTACTAGAGGTATCTCTCCAGATTCTTCCAATCTGGTTAGTAGTCTAGGGCAAAGGTTCACATCAGACACCCACCTGGTACTTACCAGTACCCAAAATGTGGACCTGATTTTCATTTCTTCCCCCAACCATTCATTCACCAGATTGATACTGAGCACCTATTTACTGCTAGCCCAAAGCACACAGCAGTTGGCAGGGGTGCTGCTGCATATTGTCAGAACTCTCCTAAGGTACTAGACCCCTGCTTTATAACTGAGTACTCACTCAACTATCATTCTGGCCAGTCCAGATGCCACTGTCCTGATTGTGTATTCTACAGGCCAACCTTAGAGATTTAGATGAGAACCATGGACTCAGCAGGAGCCCTGGACATTCCCACAGCCTACTGAGAGCCTGTCTCCATTGCCAGGTGATTTCCTGTTAATCTCAATCCTTAGCCAATTCTCAACTCTTTCCCAGTTGCTGAGACTCCAGTATGCACCATATCCAAAGACTTCAGAATTATAATACATTTCCTCTTTTCTGGGGATCCTTAACCTATCATAACCCATACTAAACATAAGCTCACAATAAAAAATTACAAACCAGCCCAGCCAGTGTGGCGTAGTGGATTGAGCATCACCCCACAGACTGAGAGGTCCTGGTTCAATTCCCAGGTAAATGCCGGGATTGTGGGCTTGACCCCCTGTGGGTGACATGCAGGAGGTGGCCGGACAGATGTTTCTCTTATAACAGTGTTTCTATCTCTCTATCCCTTCCACTCTCTCTAAAAAATCAATAAAAACATTTTAAAAAAATTACAAATCATAAATACATATATAAAAACACATGCACTCATAAGATAGAATGTACAGATGCAAAAATCAGAATAATGATCAAACCAAGAAGTACTGATAACAGAACTCAAGGTTGACAAACTGTTTCTTTAAAAAAATAGAAAATAAATATTTAAGCTTTGCAGGCTACATTTGATCCCTGTCAAATATTACTCTTTTATTTTTGTGTAACATTTTAAAATTTTAAAATCATTCTTAGCTCATGAGCTGCACAAACACAGGCCATGGACCTAATTTGACCCACAGGTCACACTTTGACCATTCTTATAATAGAAAAATCTACAGTACAAAGATAAAAAGAAAAGGAGATTATAATTTAAAAAACAGAGCAATCTGAGAGCAGGGGTGAGACGAGATGTCCAATTTTTTTTCTTTTTTTTTTTTGGTGGGCAAAAGTTTTATTGAAGCGTTCCTGGACGAGGTTCACTGGTCCACGTGGCGGGGGTCAGGGAAGTTGCCGAGATGTCCAATTTTTTCAAGGAACCAAATAAAGCTTTACAAATTAAAATAAAAAGTTTAAAACAATCATGTTTTAAATGCAAGATTAAATGCAACTCAAGCAAGAGAACTAGAAGATGAATCAGTG